ACTCTAAGCGCACAGGCCTCTCGGAGAGCAGCCCACCAGCTGCCTCCCTGATCTCTGGCCGTCACTGGGAATCAGCAGAAACCTGCTTCCACTTCTGCAGAGGCTGCTGTGTCGGGGTTGTACAAACGCAGCCGAGTCACACAGAGGTCACCACATCCCCGCCTGAAAGAATAACCGCCCAGCAGCAATGCACACACAGACACACACATGACTGCTAAATCTCTTGCAATAAATGTATTTTGTAAAAAGATATCCAAGTTTGCAGCTTTGGCAAGAAAAAAAGATTCTGCAGGGTGCCGAGAAAGTAGCTGGGTTTAGCTCAAACTAGTGTATAATAGCAATTGTGACAAATCCAGCAGCAAAGCTCGTCATGACCAGGGAGAGTTCCACATCGACAGCCACACGTCACAGGAAGGCTCTGACCTCACCTCCGTGCCAGAGAGAGTGCAGCACTACGCCAGGGTGTGAAACAGCCAGTCACCTGCAAATGTAGTGCTACATGGTGCGGTTTTCGCAAGGCAGAACTTCAAAAGTCAGGATCATGTTGAAGACAAGCAGCTGGTGCACAATGGGAAAGAACAGGCTTGGGATGCAAATATAATCACTGTATCGCACTATATTAACAGCAGGGCTCCAGCCTTAAATTGCTGCAGCATCTCTCTCTAAGAGACTCGGCTCACTCAGCTGACAGTGCGCGTCTCATATTTATCCATCTGCACATTTTAATTTCATGTTTGTTGATAAGGGCTGGCAGGTAGGAGAGCTTCATGTTGACGCTGTAAGAGAAACTGCGGCTGTGACTGTAGAAGTGTCATCATCTGTGACACAGCAACACCAGTTAACTACCCACCACATGACACCAAGATCATGCTACACCAAGAAGCTCCAAAACAACAGTATTTCAGGGTCCTTTTTATCCATCTGCTTCTTAATGCAAGGTTATTTTTAAACCTTACAATCTTACAGAAAAAAAAACGTGGCATTAATTGAAAGGTGGCATTGTGGACAGGAAACTTGTGAATCTATAAATAAATGGTGTTGATATGAAGAGCAACACCGAAGGAACACTAATAATTTCATGCCTGGCCCCCACACAAACACCTGAATCAAAGGTGGATTATTACAGCGCACAAGCAAGGTTATTTTATAGGCAGGTGCTAATATAGGAGCCCTGAGGAAGTTCTCCTTTTGTCAGCAGGCAAAATGAGCTTCACATGAGCCTGACTCCTCCCTCGCTCGGCGGCAGGAGAGGCGGGGAGTCTATTTAAATAACCACACCCATGCTGCGACGTAGGCAGCTGTTCCTGGCTCAGCTGCCCTGCTGCCTGGCAGCCGGCGCTTTCCTGCGGTTGGAGACGGATCTGTGGGCTAACGTGTCCAGCCCGTCGTCTCTCTTGATACTGGGAGGACCATCTGGAAACATAAATCCAGTTATTCTGGCAACGTAGAGAGAAGTTGTGATTCATTTAAAAAATCCTGACGGTGGACCAGACCCAGCGCCACGGGGGGGCAACTGAACTGCCCCGCCCCCTCGGATTTGGATGAAAGGATTTTTGAACACTTGCGCTACTTAACTTGCGCCCTACAAAATAGTTGTACTTTGTCAATGGTCAGATAACTACACTAACCCAGAATTAACAGTCCAGGAACGACACCTATTACACAGTGTCTATGTTACTGGGTGTCGACATTATTACGGTCTTGTTTGCTCAGGTGGACTGATTCCTTGCAGTAGTTTATCCTTATACGTACAATCGTTATATAACTAGGACTGTAGTTATAGACGTTCGTGCTTCCTGTTGGTTTTACACCTATTTTTTCTTAACGATTCAGAAGCTCGTTACCGTCGATGTAGCTGCACAAATGAGCGCACGTGGTATTTTGTCGCTCCAGGCACTGATAATCGCGAGAGGGCTGATGAATGTGAAACTGTACGACATCGCTAAATACCAGACGGCTCATCGTTATCTTCTATCATGAAGCACTAATCGGTGGCATGGTTGCGAGATTTCACTTGGGTAGTAGAATTTCAGACGCCCCCCTACAGATTTTTGCCCTGGCACCTGCAGTGGAGACCCATTACCAGTAATCAACTGGGAAGTCCCAGTTTTACTATATGACCCTAAAGAGCAGGACTAAAGAAACCAACCTCAAACACCCCTGGCATCTCCCAGCCAGACTGTCCACATCAATACACACCCCCAGGTGTGACACATCAAGCTCTGTGTGACTGCAATACTACAATGCCTCTCCTACAACCTTTCAAATGTGCTGGCGAAATTTGTCAAGATGGAAAAGCTCCAGCAGTGAGCAAGAAATATTTTTGGAAGGTGATAATAGGATTGAACGATAAGGTTTGGCTCCCCACAGTACTCTAAACTCTACATCAGCTTTTCTGTACTATTAGAAAAAAAGAACACTATTATCCTCAAAGTTATATCTTCCCTTTCTTCCCAAAAAGCATTGCTTTTAAACACTTAGAGACTCTTGCTAAGAGGACATCAGCCCCCCAGCAATTTTCTCACACTGCTGTCTGTCCCTGCAGAAGCAGGCTAAACGGCTCCCAGCGCTTCAATGTAAAAGGCAATTCAAACCTCATCCATTCTCCTTCTTCGTACAGGATCTAAATATTTTATTAATACAGTAATAAATGTAACAAGAGACGCCGGCTGCCTGCTCTATCAGCAGCGCCTCAGTGACAATGCCTCCTGTTTAATATGTGCTGCTAGGGTAACAGGGGCACGGAGCACAGCAAGGGCCAGGCAAGGCGTGTACAGTTAAATCACTGGAGCAGGAACACTCAGTCAGCATCAGCTCTTCCAGACACGCTAAGGATCATTGCGGAAGCTCATTCACACTTATGAGCTTCAACTAGTCAAAGAAAGTGAACACACAGGGCCCTACAGACACGCCCGACGCCCGAGAGAGTATCACCCCAAGCCCAGCCTTCACTACAGGCGCAAGCAGGGCATAGTACAGGAAGAGATTCATCAAAAAAGGGTGTGGAACTAGTACAACTCACTGTCAAGAACCCTTAAAACAAACAACTGGATGATGAATGAGTTTTAGTGTGTCAAGAAGGGTAGTTTGCCCCCCTCCTCTGCATTGCTCAGAACCTGTCTGGAACAAATGACCTCTGATCAAAAGAAAAAAAAAAGAAAGCTTTCTCTCTGCCTCCAGTCCCTGCTACGTGGGCTGAGGAATTCACCAGCTTCAAAAACGTCCAAACCGGTCTCACTGGTATCGCTCCGTCAGGGAGCACAGCTCGTACTCACCTGGGGGGGAAACTGGGTCGGCCAGCGTGATGCAGGCCCTTCACCTGTGTCAGTAAGAGCATTGGGCTTAAATAAGATTAGCAGCCTGCTCAGGCAAACGGACACAGCTCATTATCCCAGTGGGTTGACAGGCGTAGGCAGTGAGAGGAAAGTGAAACCACACAGAAATAGACACAGACAGGCCAGGCAGCCTGGACACAAAAAAAGGGAGGAATCACCAGCTGACTGATCCCAGTCCAGACCAACAGACCAGTATCACGGCCAGACTGCAGCCAGCTGCTGAAGTACCTCAGCCAAGCTCGTATGCATCTGTACTGACCACGGCCAGATAGTCCCGCTGGTTTCCCTTCCTGCGTCCTTGGGGAATCGCCAGCTTCTCCCGCCAGGAATTCTGGCTCTAACCCAGGACAACACGCGGGCAGAGGCCAGCTGCCCTGCGACATGGTCAAACACATCATTCTTATTTTCCTGCAGGACCCCCAATCGCCCCCCCCATGCCAAGCTAAGCTCCATCATCGGAATATCCACCAACATATGCAGAACCCAGTCACACCCACATTTTGGATTCTAATTCAGCTCTTAACAAACATGCCGGCACTCGACTTTTGAAAGGAGTCAGAACAATCCAACTAATGTTTGCAATTGACTTTTCAAAGTAACTCGTAACGTTCAAACTACCAACTGCTATGGGGATTGCTACCCTATCTTGGAGGCGAACTTTGTCACGTTAAAATTCCTCCAAATACAGCCCAGCTTCAGCTCATGCTGACTGCCAACACGTCTGTCTGCAGCTGGATACGGACTCTCCCAACAGCCTCAAACTTTGTTCCCGGGTCCCTCAGAGACGTGACGGGAATTGAAATGAACAGAAAAAACGAATACGATCATGATATGACATTTTCTGGCACCACAGACATGAACTAGGGGAGCGGCGACACCTTCTCCTCCCAGGGCTGGTGAAAAAGTAAATACCAGGCTGGGAGGTGGAGACGCACCGCACTCAGAAGCGCTCCAGGGGTATGGAACCTGATTCTCCAGGACACGGGAAAGACACACCCTGGTGAACGGCCTCTTTTCTCTTTCCGCTTCTATTCCCAGTTTCTTAAGTGTGTTTAACAAATGGAAGTCCTTTTCCGTCAGCCTTCATTTTCTATACCCAGCAGGCCCACAAGCGCAGATCCCGAGCCACCGCTTAAAAAAAAATTGGGGGCGGAGCGCTGGCTCTGTGGCTCAGGATCTGCGCCTGTGGCTGGAAGTTTGCCGGTTCGAATCCCGCGGCCGGCAGAGGAATCCTACTCCGTCGGGCCCCTGAGCAAGGCCCTTCGCCCCAGCTGCTCCAGGGGTGCTGTATAAATGGCTGACCCTGCGCTCTGATCCCCAGCTTCTCTCCCTGTCTGTGTGTCTCATGGAGAGCAAGTTGGGGTATGTGAAAAGACACATTCGTAATGCAAGAAATTGTATAGGGCTAATAAAGTGACCTCTCTCTAAAACATGACCCGTTCTGTTGGCCTACAGTACAGTCAAGGCCTTTTCCCACACAGCTTGTAGGAGGTGCAGTCAGCTGCAGGTGCCTCATGAGTTATTTAGGAGCCTCGAGGCAGACGGGTCAAAAGCAACTGAGTCTTGAGACGTCACCTTATAGCCTTCTAAGCACTGTTCCAATCCAGACAGGTCCTGACAGAGGCAATGCAATGGGCAGGCCGGCTCAACACTGAAACACGGACTTGTATAAACAAGTACACAAGCAAATCGAGAGGCAGTGCCCGTGGAACTGTGGGAGCCTATGAGGCGCAGGTGGATGAGATCTGCCCTTCGAGAACGAGCACCACCCTAACAAGCTGGACAGAGCGGTTATCCAACATTTCTAATTGTCATTTGTTAGGGGCTTCTTAAATCCTGCACGTTCACGTCATTTACTTTTTAAGAGGCGTGTAATTTTACATGAACACTACAGACGTCCACAGGGGTCAAGTGAACTGCCCCGTGTATCGAGTGGCAGCGGGGCCCTGTGTCCTGTGTCCTGTGTCCTCCGTCTCAAATGTCACCTCGGGCCGGGGCCTTCCTCATCTCATCTTCCTCAGCTGCTGTCCTCTGGGGAGCAGGAAGGACAGGGCAGCACCGGCCTCCTGTAGCACATTAGGGTTTGTTTGTCTTTTTAAAAAGGTGCTACAGCAACAAACGTCAATGATGAGAAGAGGGTTGACTTTTGGATAGTGTGTGCATCAGTGAATCTAACGCAGCACACCACTGGAGTTAAGAGAGAGGAGAGAGACGGTGAGAGGAGGGAGACACAGGCCTGCAGAGCACTCCTGCCTTCAGAGCAGACGCTGCTCCGCCGTTAACACAAGGGCATTTTCTCACACGCTGTGGAAAGACTGGCCGTTGCCTCAGAGAGCCGCAGAGTCCTCTGGCCCCTGCCTGCCTCAGGCCTGAGCGAGGTGTTCGCTGCTGACAGGACCTCAACTCAGCAGCCACAACACGGTCAGCTCAAAACACACCACAAAGACCATTCCCTCGCGACACGGCACAACTGTAACACACTGGCAAACATTTTCTGTGTTCATTGAGGTGGTTTTTACAGAAAGAGTTCGGTTAGTAAATAATTTTAGCGTTTAGAGGAGATTCGTGCTCCACTAAATTCTGGTGTCTTGTCTTTGGAGAGACACTAATCGGTCACCTGTTTCTGCACAACAGGCACCATGTCCAGCACGGCCACACACCGGCTCAAGGGCCGGCGGTGCCGGTAGGATCAGAGCCGGACAGACGCCGGCCGGGCGTCCCGTCGCGCTCGGACCTGCCAACTCCACGGAGTCGCGGCACCATCAGTGACTTGTGTTTGCTGAACGTTCAAATGAAGTTCAAGGACAGATTCCTGCTAGCAGAATTATTATATAATCTAAACAGTAGAACGAGAAGGACAAATCCCCCGCTGACTTACAGAACAGTAATAAAGCAGCGACTGTGCTTTGTTTTTTCTAAATTATGGCTAAAATAGACAAGTGGCCTGTAATGTAAAAGGATATTTTGACTGTTCCTAAAGCGCCGTGACTACAATAACATTGTCCCTGGGGCAAACAAACAGCCCCCCTGGACTCGGTTACCCCGCAGGAAGAGCAGGACCAGCCCCCGGCAGACCCACGCGTGTCCGCCCCGAGCGCGGCTGACCGACCACACCGGAGCCCCCGCAGGCTGAGCTCTCGGTCCCGCTCGAAAGGGCAGCCAGAGGGCTTGTCCTGACAGCTGGGCTCAGACTCAGTATTCAAATATACGAGTCCGGTTAAACAGGAGACACGTTCCCTTCCTAACCAGGGCCGCTGTAGAAATTCATTCATTCCAGTTCACCTCCGCCTCGCCGAGCGGCCAGACACAAGCGAAAACACGCCGATACTCTTTCTATTATTACTACTAATAATAGAAAGAGTATCATGAATGATATTAATATTACAATGAAAAATCATCACGTTTGCAACCTCCCCGCAAGCACACAAGCCGCCTACACGGGAACAGCGGACTGAATCAAAGTCAAGTTTAGCACTGAAGCCGCGAACACAAATTTCCCCGTGAAGAATTCCCTGAATTCCCACAGACGCTGGGGTTTGTACTTACAACTCCTTGATGATCATTCTTGCTGCCTGTGTGTTTGCACGGCGTACCGGCAGCTCTGTCAGGCTCTTCGCAGACGCGGATCTCCGTCTCCTATCCTCTCATCCCGAGCTGTATTTTCCTCAGTTTCACTTCCTGATTGGAGCGCAGGGGGGCGCGGCGCCGCCAGGGCGGCCACGCCCCCTCGCCGACACGACGATGACGTCGGCAACCGGTATCGGGCTTTAAGGTCACCGTGGCAACAGCTTTCCTCGTTCTGAGGCCTGATGTCATGATGTCACGGCCACAAAAGAAAGCTTTGATTTGAAATCCTAATCCCAAATCCTTTAAGATGCACATAGGCGAATGCGATCCGCATTTCCTGTGAATGATTCTCATTGTAACATTTTATTTACGATTCGGTGCTTTGCGTTTATGTAACGATTCATACTAAACCCCGCCTAAATACAGCATTCTAAGATCTCTGTCACTGTTTTTATGAACAGAAAACACGACTGTTGCTTTAAGTAGAGTGACGTCCTTCCAGCACAAATACGGATAGCACTGGTTTCACTGTAGTATGAAAGCACCGGAGTAAAATCAGTGTTGCAGAAGCCGGTCATGATCAGTATAGTGAGATGTCATCTTCCTCTTGATTGATTCAACAGCTTCATTAATGTTACAGTGCTGGTACTGAGAATAATGTGTTATGTTTTCATAACATTCATAATGCATTAATATTGCATGATTTTGTCTCACCAATTTACAAATATGTATTTAGGTTTAATCTGAAAATCTTTAAATGGCAGGCACCAGGGGGTTCCTTGTTTTTCCACAAGTCTGGTTTTGGAAAGGTTTGGAACCCGTCTGTGATTTCTAAGAAGCTTACAGGATAACTACACTTATGTAAACTTGTTATTTCAGAAGCAAAACCTTTTAGTCAGCCTTTGTTTTCAAGTACTCGGGCGTATTAATCGGGTTCTGGGGTCTGCATGACGTCTTGTTTCCCGGCTGCAGTTTATTAATAATAATAATTGCTTACACTTATATAGCGCTTTTCTGGACACTCCACTCAAAGCGATTTACAGGTAATGGGAATCCCCTCCACCACCACCAGTGTGCAGCCCCACCTGGATGATGCACCAGTACTCTCCCCACACACCAGCTCTCAGTGGGGAGGAGGACAGAGTGATGAAGCCAGTTCAGAGATGGGGATTATTAGGAGGCCATGATTGGTAAGGGCCAATGGGAAATTTCGCCAGGACGCCGGGGTTACACCCCTCCTCTTTTCGAGAAACGCTCGGGGATTTTTAATGAGAGTCAGGACCTCGGTTTTACGTCTCATCCGAAGGACGGCGCCTGTTTACAGTATAGTGTCCCCGTCACTATACTGGGGGATTAGGACCCACATGGACCGCAGGGTGAGCGCCCCCTACTGACCCTTCCAGCAGCAACCTTAGTTTTCCCCAGGAGGTCTCACATCCAGGTACTGACCAGACTCACACCTGCTGAGCTCCAGTGGGTTACCAACTATGGAGAGCAGCACTGTAGACTCCGTCCCCGGTAGTACCCAACACCCGACCAATAAGCACAAGGCACTATAGTAAATAGTGTCTCAGATGCTCTTTGACAGTCTCCGGTGTTACTCTTTCAAATGATCCCACTTTCAGTTTTAAGCAACCTCAGGGACTAAAAGGACTGTTTATAGACAGGTTATGGTAAGTAGGAACCTTGATCCTGTGGCTAAAATGTGTTCTTGTGTCCCCGTGGCAGACGGGTTTCTCCCGTGCCTCCGTTATCAGCAACACACCCGCACAAGCGCATACAGTGTGCATACAGACAACGATTAGCCTGGGAGTGAACTCCAGCACACAGTGGGAGTTCACCGTGCAGCACACGGGTGAAAAAATCCTGTTGAACACGAGAAGAACATGCAGACGCCGCACATACTACATTCCAGTCGAGAACGGAGCTCAGGACCCCAGAAATAAGCGCTCGCAGCCCAACCGCCCTGTCCCCCACGCTTCGAGCACCGAACTTCATGAACTCCTCCATAGTGTTAGAAGGTTTATCAATTGTGCAAGGCTGCCCTCCGGTGGGCAAAAGGGGCAGATTCTTATTTTTATTTGCCGTGAGCTCTAACTTCACTTTATGGTATGTTCCTCCAAGCCCACTAGATAGAAGGACCCTCATGATTTCCTGTCTTCGGGGGGAGGTTTGGGTTTTGGTTTCTCTGTATTTACTGTATATAGTGAATATTACAACATGTTTTAAGAATTACTAGATGTTTAAATGTAACTATAATAATAATAATAATAATAATAATAATAATAATTGCTTACACTTATATAGCCCTTTTCTGGACACTCCACTCAAAGCGCTTTACAGGTAATGGGGATCCCCTCCACCACCACCAGTGCGCAGCCCCACCTGGATGATGCGACGGCAGCCATAGTGCGCCAGAGCGCTCCCCACACACCAGCTAACTAATTGCCAAAATATCTATAAAACAGATGTAACCTTTGTGGCAGAAACTAGAAAAAATGATCAACTTGAATGGGTCCCTTTTCACAGGCTAAACGGACAGGTGTACTTGAGTGAGCTGAGCCCATTTTACACTTTGCAGTTGCGCCTGTTAACCAGAAGAGGGAGCTCACCACAAGCATGGGGGTGTTCTTGCGGTGTTACTGGCCGTGCTCAGGGCAAAAATGAGCGCAGTACTAAATATTCCCTTTTATTGGTCAAAAAAGAAGATAGACACAAGCGGCACATTTTTAAACAAATTACTTTGAGCTTATATTTATTTGTCATATAAGTGATTTTTTTCTAGATGAACAATAAAGACTAGAATCATACAAGAAAATACATTAAATGACCAAGAGTTAAAAAAAACTAAAAAGAGAACTTTCTCAAACAGTGACGATTGTTATAAAAGAGTCAGTTACTGAAATGCATATATGTAAAAAAAATTGACACGTGAGAAAACAAGATTTTTCAAGTGAATAATCGCACAAAAACATAGTTGGAAAAAGAGTACAACAATCACAACCACACAAAACTAGCAGTGTCATTTGAAATCCATCTTGCCTGCCGGTGGAGTTAGTCTGCTCCTGCTGAGACTAACCCTTTGTATTCTGATACACAGCAGTCCCGTTGCAATATCAGTTCAAAATATCAGTTCTTCAATACTAAACCAGGTTGTCTTTTTGAAACAGAAAAAGAAGACATGATATGAATGCTGATGACATGAAAGTGCTGATCTCAAGGAAAATAAATATCCACATGCGTCCCATCCAATTCCCGAGCCATCTCTCTGTCACCCACGAGGTCAGTGGGAAGGGTGCTGTCCAAGCCACATATGAGGCTACAAGCACATGGGAATTGATCCAGAAGAAGAGAACTCCAGGCACTTCAGCACATGGTCAGTGTCTGTGAGGCCTGGCCTGCCCAGACACACAGTATTCAATGTTAACAACACTACCAGCTGTGCTGTAAAACACACATGAATTACATCACTGCAGCCCATCTGCGTATTAATGTGTATTGCATACATAATGTTAAAGAAAATACTATCAATGGCTACAGGAGGTGAACTAATTCAACACAGCTTCAATGTTCCAAGAGCTCGGCTGATCTCTGACACCAGTTCCCCACAGGGCAGACCTCTCACAGAGATGTAGACCAGTCTGCACATGAATTTATTCTGATCTTTGCGTTTACAACTGAAATATTCCCATGCAGCTGTCTTGAAAGAGGTGGGACGGTTTACATTCGAAGAGAGATTGCAGGAGATCTAGCCAACAGGGAGTTTTACAGACACCCCCTGTAGAAAGTGCAGCAGCACAGAGCAGATGTGGTTTTGTAGGCTTTTGCTGGTCTTTTATACTTTTTAGACTGAGAACCAGTACCAGCAAACTAAAGGGAAAAGTTAAACATAGAAAAGTCATCAGAATTAACAGTAGTCTCAAAAGCAGCTACTCCAGAATAAATGAAATGATGAGTATCAAGTTTTCAAGTTTATGACTTTAACTACTGAGAATGAACAAAGAGTTGTATTCTGCTGTAGCTAATGAAATCATATTGCACAATTCCTCAACAGCTGAAAACACTGTTTTCTTTTGCTGAAAGGCAAGTAAATATAAAGTGAAAAGTGCACGCGTCACCACAGCTGCAGAAACACAAGCACTCGTGTTTGGTCAGAATGCAGTGCAGGGCTAGTTTGGCGGATACCTGCTCCCAGTTAAGGTGCATGTGTGCGGGTCACAAGGGATCGAGGAGCTGCAGGAAGCCCGCAGTGAGCAGCAGAGCTCTGGGCAGCTGCATGGCTACAGTGCGAGAGGTCTGCTCTGATTCAGCAGGAGGCACGAAGCATTCCAACACATACAGGTGACATTCTGTTCATCACAGAAACCCCACACCAAGCAAAAAGGTAGTTGAAGCCCTTGCTGTTCCTTGTAAAAAGTCAGGAATCCTCTTATTAGCCTGAAAGGATCACAAAACACACTCATTTCTAATGGCAAAGTCAGAAACAAAGCTTCTTGGCTGATCATTTCAGACAATTCCCCGGGCAAAAATAACAAAAGCTTTTTTTTCTGTATGAGAACATTACTTGACTATTTTGAAGTTCACTTTTCTGTTGGCTTCATAAAAGTAAAGGGGAAGGAAATGGCTTTATTCTTAACTTCCTATTTTGTTGAATTCTCTAGAGAGTTGTCCACAAAAGTGACAACTGAAAGGGAAACACGTGGCGTTTTTGTTTCTGGATATGGCTATGACATTCCAAGGAAGAGATTCCAAACAAAGTACCAGGCCGAAAGAGTTTCTATTCAAAGGGACTCTCTGAGCTCAGAAATACACACCTGTGTAGGTGGCAGGGAGGGTCTGGCTGTACTCAGAGCCAGATCTAGTTTTTAGAGTAAGTTTCACAGCCTTATGCATTTCCATGACAGGAAGAAAAGAATGAATTTGCCCTTGAATAGAAATCTGGTTTGGCCTCCTGCTTTATAGTTTTAAAGCAGACGTGGCAACAGAACGTCTTGTGTTTAACCATTATTTGTGAAAATGAACTGAGAATGGCAGACAAGCCCCGGAGAAGATGAATACTCAGCCCCTGACATCTTTGGGTGTAGACCTTAGGCTTTCCTAGGGCATTGCAGTCAAACACAGCCCATTCCAAACTGGGACACCAAATTAGTGCTGCAAGCCTGCTTTCATAAGAATAGTACAAAGTGCAAACAGGTGGCAGGCACTTAGCAGCTAACACAGTGATCCATCTGGACCACAGGCTGTTAGGCTGGCACGGTAAGGAAATTGTGGGTGTACAGACAAATTCATCTTGGCTTTCCTCCTTTTCAATATAAGAGCACACTGAAGTTTTCAAGTGCCTCTGAAAAGAAATAGTAGTGCAAATGTAGCACCCAGTGAAAACTGCGGTTTACTACGAGACATGCTGTGTATATATAAATTGTGTATTGCGAGTGTCGCGTGGCTACTGTAATCTCACAGTCTGGGAGCTTCAGAAGAGAGACAGTTTAAAAAAAAGGGAAAGACAATTTTCTGGGGGGAGTGCTCATCGTGGACTTTGAGAGAAACCTGTTCTGCGTCTCTGTGCTCCCCCAGTGCCTTTTTAATAAAAATCCATAAAGGAGGTTAACACAATTGTGGCAGAGATGAGGAGCTCTTGAAAGGGGAAGCAGTGTTATTCAAAATCAATGACAAAGGACGATTTCTCTGCACACCCGTCAGTGGCCTGTACTGGCGCTGCCCGGTGTCCAGTAACACCTGACAGTGCTCTATGTAGTAGGTGCAGAGAGCCCTGGCTTTCAGTGCCCAGGAAACAGCTTTTAACTCTGATTGACCCACTCCAGGAGTGTTAAGGGTCCTCACAGCTGGAGAGGACATTCGGATGTCCTGGATAGACACGCGGTGCCCGTCATCAAGAAGGGCAGGTTATTGCAGTGAAGGAGAAGGACACCTGCCTGGACAGTATAGCCCTCCAGGCTGTTATAGCCCCGGATGACTGGTGTGTTTCTCCAATCAAGATTCACATACCCACGTTTCTCCTAATGCAATGTTTCATCTACATATACCAGGCCATCAGTTACAACGGAAATCTCAAAATATATTGCAGATAAATACAATAGAAATAACCTACAGTTTATATAGAAATAGAGGGAAAAAACTAACATGATAAAAAACATAAATTTAAAAATGACCACAGATATACTGGACAAAACAGTTTTATCAATACACACTGACACATCATGAATCCGCCTTATTTGGTAGTGTCTGCAGGTTTTGAAGTATTATTGCTTGCAAAGTGTGTAGACATTAATTTTCACTTTGAAAACCTCATTTAGCTTCGTGATGTGGTATACAAACAAACAGGCCAGAGCAAGCCAGCATACAACATTGCCCAAATTACTCTTGCTTAATCAGAAACCTCTATGAACCATATATGGCACGGGCAGCCTATCCTGTATTCGGAGTGACACGTGTATTGGGCAGCTCGCTACACAGCCAGTCAGGTGTGACCTGCTGCACTGGAAGCACATGATTGCAGAGAGACTCAAGCTGCACAGTGCTGATGCTACAGTCAGAGGAGGGGCTCCTGCCTGTGTCCTGGCTCGAAAAGCCCCATGGGCTCTCAGCACACAGCGCCCTGAAGCAGGAGGGACTGCAAACACCTGGCTGTGAAGCTCATTTCTCACCCCTGTCAGTACAGGGAAAATGGGCTTTTATCTAGTCTAAAAGAGCTTCCAAAAACTGCACCATGTTTATGGCTGTCAGAACAAAATGCTGCAAATCTACATCCTGAAAAACAGAGCATTTGTGTCAACCTCACCTACACTGAACTGCATGAAAACAGACTTCATCTGGATCATGTCTGTTTTGCACAGTTCAGTTCTTCTCAGATTGCTGTATTTAATGTAATTGTTAGTTTGTTTTTCTAAATAGTTTGAAATTAAGTATCCGTATTCAAAACCAAGCATGCAATGCTGCATATAAGGAATAATCTCTGATTAATTTCCATCAGTAAGACCCTGAATCAGACATTCATCTATACTGACGAAGAGATCACTTCGGATCACTGCTGGAATGCAGCTTGTTGGAAGTCATATTTACAGATAGGCGTCATGGTTGTGGCACATCATTTGAGAAAACGAGATGCTCCTGGAGTGGTGAGGGCTATCTCGGGGGGGTTGACAGCTGAAATACGTGACCCTGTCTGGATTTTCTCTTTGAATTGAAATGAACAAGCCTGTTCTGCATGAGGATCAATCACAGCACCACACGGATCCCCTTTCCGGTTATAACTGATGGAGATGTTCACCCCTGGCACCGAAAACAGCCACCTGCTGCTTTATTAATGACAGCAATGCCTCAAAGAAGCAGTCACTACGTGAAAGGGATCGATAGCTATTACTGTTATGTATCGTGCAAACTCTGCTCTTAGCAATGTTTCTTTATTAACAAATTGTCTGTGTCTACAGTACCAGTTCAAAGAAGAAGTGATTTAGCACCTGTGGTTTCTAGCAGAGTGGCGCATGCCTTGGCCCCTGTCTGTGGGGAAGTGCACACCCACTGACACAGCACCGATTACCAGCAGTGTGCCGTGATGCTCTGAGCACTGTGGAGTGTTCTTCTGCCAAGGGGCATTATTATTCCTGGCATACTCAGGCAGAGGGGTGGCCATCACCCCCATGATCAACAATTAAAAGATCTTTGCAATAGCCAGAGAGATCATCTTTACCACAGCTCGGTGGTCATTTGCCCTGATCTTACATGCACATAAGCAATAACACGTCTGCTTTAACCGTGCCGTTCTGTGAAAAACGATTACGAGCTCTGCGCTGCTGGCCGAGGCCGATGGGTGCTGCAGGTCACAGCTGGAGCTCATTGCTATCGCCTTGCACTCAAAAGACTATTAAAGAGGGACATGGCTCTAGAGTCGATTGTTTCCCGTTGTTGTACGAGTGGTTTTTTCGTTTTTTAAGCATGAAGCTCGACTGTCAAACAGCTTCAGCTGTTCATTATGCTGCAACACAGCAAAAGCTGCTCCTTTCAGAACAGACCCTGTGTGCCACCAAGTCGTTCTTAATACACACACGTCATCTCAGTTTAATCATTTAGACCTACCGGCTCCTTTATTGTCTTAAAATGATCCTTTTCTATATAAAAAAGGTTTAGCACCAATATTGAAGAAGACTATTAATCACTTTTGTGGAAAACCACAAACGGCACTAGGTACAGCTTTCCTTTTCAGTGTGTTTGTGAAATTCCTAACAATTTTAGAAGCAAAATTCCCATTCTTGCACTCTATTACTGCTCATGGCCTCTGTAAGAGAATTATTTTATCACACTGCAGTTCAAGAGGTATTGCAAAGATCTAAAAAAGTCTGCAGTGGTTTTGGCTGACTTTTGAAACAAGCCCCGATACTGTGAGTTGGTTTGGAAAAGATTACAAACAAAAAACAAAAAAAAAATACTCAGGTTAGTTTTAGGCTCTTCCTTTTTTAAAAAAAAAATGGCAGTGCCCTCTGAACTTCACAGTATATGCCCCAGTTAAAGTCCTACAAAACTAAAATGAAACACAGAGGATACAATTAAGAGAGAACCTAACACTCAGCCCAACAAGGTTGGCTGGTTCCTCCCAGAATTCCCCCGGCTCACCCGGGTGCCTGAGTCAGCCCTGCTCAGTCTGGTCGCCAGGGGCCGTGCGGGAAGTGGCGCTGTGAAGGGGTGTCATGGGAAGGGTGAGTGAGTGCGAGCGGAGTGAGGGACAGTCACGCGGAGGACACCATGTGACACCGAGAGTCCTCTCTCTCTCCCCCCCCCTCCCCTCTCGGGGACTTTACACAAAGGCTTCGTGCGCACCGCTGCCATTGATCTTCAGGAAGATCTTGGCGTCCTCCGCCTTCTGCTTCCTCTTCCTCACCAGCTGCCGGCGGAAGCAGAGCAGGTAGAGTGGCAGGCAGAAGCCCAGCATGCTCAGCCCCAGCAGCCCAATGTTCACCTGTTGGGAGACAAAGAGTGGGTCAGCGAGAAGCTTCCCAGCCAACCCAAGGCCACATCCCGAGTCCTGCGTTCAATCCATGTCACAATGATCACACAGCGGGCAAGGGGCGGGCTGTAAAGAACCGACGCCCCAACATGTCTCAAAAGGAAAGATGCCCACCACGAATTCAATCTCAATATTCAGGTCTGCCAAACCTGGAAAGAAATGTCCCCATAAAGCAGCGTTTCAAGCTCGACACCGAAGACATGACTGAAAATGTCTTCCCATGAGGAGCAGCAGGAGTCTGGAAGAAACTACCCGTCCAGCTGCTGGATCCAATTCTCTGGGAAGTTCCAGAATCAGGCTACAGGATAACTAAGATGAATGAGCCACCAGCATGCTGCCCACAAGCTCGGTCAAACAAACGGCCGCCTCTTATTTAACTTGTCTTGTGTTGCTCTGCCTATGGGATACGGAAAAGTTACTTTTAAAAGTTGTCTAAGGCATTCGTTTTTTTAAATTAATAAGAAATTATGAGAGATTTGTCTTTTAGGAGGCAACATAGTACTTTATTTATGTAATTATACACGTCCTACGTCGATCATTTTGACTGATGACTTGTTAAAATGGTTTTCCCCCCAGCATCTTGACCATGATAAAATGTAACCCTTGCACAAGTTACCACCCGCTTGGGCTCCGTTTAAAGTAACCGCCCCCGAGGGGCACGAGCGCCGACGTCGTACCCAGAGGGGGTCTCCGTTCAGGGGGCCCATCATGGCCGTGAAGAGGGGCTGCTGCAGCAGGGCGAAGAGGGCGCTGATGAGAGACTGCATCCCCGTCAGGCTGCCAAACTGGGTGGAGGGGTACCTGCCAGGGACAAGGGGCGGGTTAGGGTGGCAGCACGGGCCCCAACCAGCAGACTGTCACGCATTCCGCACGCACCCACAAACGCCGTCACATTCCCACACGCACCCCCTCACGCCACAACTAACCTTCCCATTGCCTTCCACTCCTGTCACCCTCCTCTTTTCCCTAACCATCGCTCACGAATTCCAATTCTCTTTGGAGCTCCCTAGTGCGCGCCCCCTTCTTCTTTCAGGTCTTGATCTCATTGTTGCTTCCTGGACTCTCGCTAGTTTCTGACCTCGTCTCTGCCTTTGCGATTTGGATTTCGTTGTCTCGATTGAACTGTCCCAGCCCGTTTTTTTTACTTCCGCCTGCTCATTGGTTTTTGAGCATAAGGACTTGTATTTTTGTAACATTTGCTATACGGACTTCCTGCAACAGCGCAGGAATATCACCAACTTGAGCCCTGCACAGGGTCTTTTTTTTTTTTTTTTTTTTTTAGCATAACAACTGCTAACACAGACGTGGTAAACTGAAAAGGAACGGCCCAGGTCAGGCCCTCCGGCTCCGGTCAATTATTTTAACTTTGGATTTCAACTTCTCATCTTGGACAAAAAAAACACTGCTACTCTGGAATCAGTTCAAAAGAAGAGAAACTAGGTTCATTCCTGGCCTGTCTTTACAAAAAGAATGTCTGGGACTGCAGGCGCTCAGTTCCCCCAAGTCCTCTGAAGCAAGACTAGCCGAGATCTTGGACCAAGAAGCTACCAGCGAGCAAATGATTAAGGCTGGCTGAAAGGACTCCTGGCATGTGTTACTTTCTTACTTAAGTAATACAAATGTCTGGGACCTAAATTTGTTTAGTTTGAACTACACATTCTGCACAACAGTAGGTTGCTGTTCCAAGTAAATTTTGATGTCTTAGAAAACTCAGCAAGCCAAGTCCTGAATGCCCCTTTGGGTCTTATCAGGGTCAATTCGCACAGTAAGTTCAGGTTACTTGCCCTGTTTACACCACACATTTCCTCCACAGCTTCCTGCAGTTCATTATCTATCCCCCTCTGCCTTTTCCGATTTCACTGTGCTTCACTGCACTGTAAACCTCAAAGAAGCTCCTCTCACACTAAAGCACATGGGCTCCTGGTGACCGAAGATCTGCACTTACACAGCAGCGTACAGCCCGCCCACAGCAGAATGGATGAAGCCTCTGACTATGGTGTGCAAGATGAATGAGATTATCTGAAAATTAAACAGATACATTGCATTGCAATATGAACATTCCCAATACAGAGGAGACAAGCATAGAAAAACACAACAACAACAACAACACGTAAGACCTGTTTTTGAATATAAGGCACACATCTTTTGAGCTATTTTTTCCAAAGTAACAGTTACGTAAGTCTCCTGCAGTGCGATGCGGCTGGCCTACACTGCGAATGTGTGTCCACTAGAGGGCAGTGCTGCTCTGCGCTGTGCGCAGACTGCAGATGTTAAGGGAAGTCAGTTTGGTAGTTAAAATGGCAGCAGGTTGACTTTACCCTCTGGCTTTGTTTTTGTCTGCAGCTGACTTTGACCTGGTCAACACCCAGATGAACAATTGGGATATCAAAGAGATCTGTGCCTCTGATTTGCAGTACCTCAGAGAGCTCTCAATATTGCATGCTAGCAGTAAGGTTGGTTGTATTGCTCTGCTGCTTATTACAGCAGATGTGATCGGGCGTGCAGCTCTAGACAGGGGATCTTCTGGGCTGTGCAGCCCTTTCAGGCCGAAAGCAGGCAGAGAGGGCAAGGCTCACCTGCAGGTGCAAGTCAGGGATCAGGCAGGTGACCCCAAAGCCCACTAGCAGCAGGTTGGTGAAGATAAACGCGCGTGTGGCATTGGTGATCTTCTGGATCTGGCGATCCCGACGCTTGGGCGGATTCTGATCCCTGGGAAAGAGAGGGAGGGCGGGTGCACGGAGACAGAGTTAGTCTCTCAGGACACTGAGCAGGTCTTGCATTCCAATCCAGGTCACTTACAAGAGGACTGCCTCTTACTGGGGGCAATTTGGCCAACTAAATGGATGCTCTACTCTTTTAAGGATCGTGTCTCTTGTCTCCAGCAACATTAACCAAAGTGCCTTTCACAGTATTGACTTCTGTTAGCTGACAGGCAACAGGTCTGCATAGAGTAGAGTAGTTTATTGCCTTATGTACATGTACATTGGATTTCATGGGGAGCTTTCTCAGTGCCTAATTTCCACTCTGAGGAGCACAAGAACTGCTGAAAATATACAAAATTATTGATTCAGGACCTAATTAACTTCCAATCTACTATGAAGGTAACTGGCTAGGGAGGCACTTTTCTGATCTCTTCACAGATCAGCATACAATAAAGGAAAAGACACAAAGGCCCAGACTAAGAGGAAGGGAAAGCTCTGCCCGTTTCTGCCATCACACGTTTTCTGGGGCAAAACCACAATCAAGTGAAGCCAAGTACTGTGAAGGAATGGTAAAGCAATGAGGTGCATGGTAAATATGACAGAAAGCACAGTAAACTACAGCTAAGCTCAGTGTGATATTTTCCCCCAGAATCCTGTGAACCCTGCGGCACTGTGCCTCTCTCCAGGCTCCAGCACGGAGACTCACTTGCTGGGCTCCTTCTCCTGGGTCTCACTATCTGAGTCTTCACACTCCTTCAGCTTCCAGTCCATGATGTACCCAATTACAGGAGCTGTCAGCAGGCACAGCAGCTGCAGAACGCCGAAGATCGTGGTGTACAGACTCACTGAGACAGAGGGAGAGCATCGTCAGACGATAGCTTGCCATCAACTTAACTATCAACGCATTTTCAATATTTTAAATAATTATAGTCCACTTCCTATAATTGTGGCACTCACTGACAGATTTTAGTTCTAAAATTATTACTACATGGTCATGTTGATGCATAAAGAGTAAGTGTCTAATGACTGAGGTTTGAGTTCTTGTTATCATCCGAATGCAATGACAGGAATAATCTCCACACCAGCACTGTACGTCAAACACTGCAATACGGGTAAGGTGACAAACTACAGCTCTTCCCAAAGTCATGCATGCAGTGGGGGATTAACCCTGCTACCAATGAGGTGAGAGTGAGGAAGGAAAGGTGGGGTCATGATAGAGATGTACAAAACAGATTCCCTGGGCAAAACTGAATAACCTTCAAAGAAACGATACTTAATTGCAGAAGGAATGGTCCTGAAGATATCGCAGAGGAATAATACAAACTGGCCTTGCTTTTTAAATCGAGTTTTTAATTCCCCTGAACAGATCTGAGTATTTTGTACATCTCTAAATTGTTAAATATGAGGATTCTCGTCTGGCCTAGAAGCTTACCCACTTCCATTCTTCCAACTGTAAAGCAGCAGAGCATTTTTGGAAAAAGAGAGAGGGGGGGGGGGAGAGAAATTAGCAAGGGCAGTTCGAAAGCAGGCAGTGCTGGGGACACACTTCTTTAGGACCCCAGCATCCCAGAGTGCACCACTGCTGGAAACATTGCTGTCTTTAGGTTTGAATAAGTGTAGCTTTGAGCATACAAAGGCTCCAAGGAGACTTTATACTAAAATTCAACAAATAACTTATGAACAAAACAATGATGAAAGAATATTGAAACTATCTGATGAACCTTCAAAATCTCTTCAACTCACAAATATTTACAGAAACAAATCTTTATTAGGAAACATGTTTGTTTTTTATTAAACTAAAACTAGTTAATCTACAATAATGTTTACCACTGGTTTTTCTATGTTTTGCAGCACTAGTCTTTGCTACAACCAGGTTTTATAATTATGCACTTGTAACAATGTCATCAAGGCACCAGCTTCTAAACAAAGACACTCGCTGTGTTAAATTCTTGCAGTGGAAATGATTGGGTAGACTTGTAACACCCTCGGCTTTCAGATTCCAGCCAAATCACTGCTAGCAGGTCGTCAGAGTTTTACTGGAGTCAGAGTGAACAGAAGACGAAGAAAGGAAACTCATGACCCAAGACTCACTCTTCAAACTGAGCAAACATTGTTGTGAAACAGAGCTGTGCCCTGCAGCGGTGCTCTGGACAGCAGTGGGCTCTTCCACAACCACAGTGAACAGGACTTGCACTGAAATTCCCCTCACTGCAGCAGAGGGAGGTCTCCTTTAACTCTCCACTGCCTCAAAGACAGGCTAAATGTTGCCTAAAATTATGGACAACTGCTGATTTGTTTAATTGAAGAAGGTAGTCGTTTGCTGGTTCATGTCACATCATTAATATTTAATATGCGGCTTTGCTAATTAATAAACAGGTGCCGGTTTGCGTGTTTGCAGAAAAGCCTGAGAACCAGTGCCCTAAACACACAGGACAGGCCCTGCGGGTCAGCACACGCAGCTTTAAATACAACAGGGCCAAAAAACTATTCCTAGAAGTATTTCCGCTCCAAGGTTAAACCTCTTCAGCAAAAGTGATTTTTCATTACAATTCTTTCAATCTAGTTACCAGCATGTGTTACTGCCATATTGCAGTAAGTGCTGTCCTGCATAGGTGCTTAGTCATCAAAGACAATAACTGTGACTGATGCCACATACTGCCTATGGCCATGGAAGGCAGGACTTCCCTGGAGAGGCGAGGGCAGAGCACCTCTCTGCGGAGCCTGGCAGTGAACATTACCCTCTGAGTGAACGAGGTGGCACCTTGCCAGCGCCCAGGATGCCCCCCCCGGCAGCGCTTGAGCAAAGGCTGATGCCCGTCCCCATGAAGTGAGGCCGTGAGCCTGGTTTCTCAGGTCTGAGTCACCAGCTCACATGTTGCACAATCCCTCTGCCTCAGCTGGCCGGTGCCGACCGGTTCCAGACAAAAACTCTTTTCTTTTCCACTTGAAATTTGCCCTTGACTGCAGGACACCTTTCCATTCGGGGAACTGCCCTGCGGGACTTATCGAGTAATATCCTGACTGAAGAAAAGAACAGACCTTTACAATGTAAGGCCAAGAGCATGCTAAACTATTTAATCTGTGTCGTCATCAACACCCCCCGGTGAGCTCGTGCTTTACTGAAACTGCCCAGCAAGTCCTACTGAAAAGCACA